TCTTCTGGCCAGTCTCTGATTACAGGGTCTCTAGCAATGGCTACGCACCCGTTCCGAGAGCTATAACAATTTCTTAGCATTTTTTTAATCAAAATGAAATTCGGCAGAAAAATATTTGTGCGTATGTATGTATGTATGTTACATAAACATAGAAAAATACGGTGAGGGGGTGACAGCGCGCCGTTGCCCGCTATTAGCTTACGTCGTCGTACCGCGCCTAGACTCGCGTCGTGATAGCCGGCTACACGTTTGCGATTAGAAAAAATAAATTAGAGCGAAATTAACCGATGGAATCTACATCTGATTTATTTATTTACTTCTTTATTTTACGCGCCGCTCGTGCGTAGCCATTGCCGATTGGGATAAACAACTTTCCGTGCGCATAGTAATATCGATCGCCGGGCGTTACTTCACTCTTCACTAACATCCCGAAAGAACTTGTGAAAGGAGCTATTAAAAAACGTTGGGGTGATATTTCACCCTATACATTACTTAGCTTACCACAGTTCTTACATGCTATTGAATTAATTCTAAACTCCACTAGTTTTAAGTTCGATGGACAGTTCTATGAGCAGATCTTCGGAAGCTCCGTGGGGTCTCCTTTGTCACCTATACTGGCAGACATGGTCATGGAAGACTTAGAGACAGTTTGTCTGCAGAAATTGGGATTTGATGTTCCCATATTCTACAGATACCTGGATGACATTCTCACTGTTCTACTTAAGACCAATTAAGATTGACTTTGTTCTCTCTATATTTAATAATTACCATCCACGATTGAGATTCATGAAACCGAATCACACAACTCCATCCCGTTTCTTGACGTGACACTTATTAAAGACGACAATAACAAGATCTTGACAAATTGGTACCAAAAACCTACTTTCTCTGGACAATACGTTAATTACTACTCTAGCCACCCACTTAAATATAAAATTAACACCATTATTAACCTAGTTGACCACGCCATTTACTCTCTGACAAAAATACTGGAAACAAAATATAGATCTTGTTAAGATAATTTTAATCAATAACTCCTTTCCTAATAAAATTATTAACAAACATGTAAACACTAGACTGAACGAACTGAAAAGACGGGATACCATACTTACTGACTGCGCGAACACTAATATTTAAAAAATCTTTGACCCTAAAAATAGCATTATCCTCCCCTATATTAAAGGACTGACAAACAAAATTAGCACAAATTTGAAAAAAAAACAGGTCTAAACACCATCTGCACCGTCCCAAAAAATTAGATAAAATTATTCAAAAAGAGGCAAAGATCAAGTAAATTCCCAGCAAACACCACAGTAACAGTTACATAACATCAATATAAATGTAATATAACACATGACTGA